TGACAGGACGAACGTACCGTAAATACCGAGTAAAACGAACGTGCTCTTAAGAGGGTTGGCAGCAGAGGTGGTTGGTAGGGGGGGGCGCCTACTACTACTACTACTACTACTACTAATACTACTACTACTCCTGCTGCTACTAGTACTTGTACTACTAGTACTACTAGTACTACTACTACTACTACTACTACCACTACCACTACCACACCACTAACAACTTCCAATGCCACTACGACTACTACAACTACTACAACTACGAGTACTAGTACGACACCCCTTCTCCTCCTTCTCCTGCTCCTCCTACTCCCACTCCAACTCTGCCACTGCCACTGCCACTGCCACTGCCACTGCCACTGCCACTGCCACTGCCACTGCCACTGCCACTGCCACTGCCACTGCCACTGCCACGCCACTGCCACGCCACTGCTACTGCTACTGCTACTGCTGTTGACGGCGGACTACGGGCATCGTTGAGGGAGTGATGTGATTCTGCTCAGATGCATGGGTCAGATCTCGATTCTCCACTTAGTTTACGGATTACAGCTTCACAGCCGACATGATTTTTCTTTTTATCTGACGAGTCTGGCGGCATCCTGGCCCACCGCTAAAATGAGCTCTGTGTCCACCAGCACTCCGAACCACCAGAAAGGAACTCGACCAGGGGCATGACGAGGAGTGCCTCAGAGCTCTTCATGGTGTTTTGGGTCATCCTCTTCAGTTCTCGTAAATTTTACGACCTTAGCAAGACCTTAGCATGCAGCGGCCTGGTGATTAGTAGTACAAATCCTTGGGTTCGCCAACATCTGTTGTAGTAGCAAAACCCTAAGCCCAGTCTAGCGTTGAGGCCCTACGCCTCATTTCCTTGAAGAGGCACTCGTACAAGGTTCTGGAATCCTGTTGTTCCAGAGTATTGCAGGTCGAGCGATTCAATGCTCTTTCGAAGGTGTTCCGACGACGTGAGGGAGACATGCGGCCTTGCATGGTCGGGCTGTAAGGATCGTACAACGCGTATGGACGAAGTCTCGTAGCATTACTTCGTCTCCTCATGAGACCTAGACCGAAAGCCAGCAAGGCAGCTGCTGATCTTGAAACCCTATGACATTGTGCGAAACATAAGCATGCTGCAGTTTCAATCGAATTCTGCGTATATCCTGCCAAGTTCTTGGCAAGTGGATGAAGATCATGTTTGTGATAGTCAGTTCTGGTTCTCTTTGGGTGTGATACCCGAGGTGGCTGAGCCCGGATCAGGCGATGGCCCCCTGGCCAAGGGAGGAAGGGCTTGCGGGGCGAGCGTTCACACGCTGGGGTTGCGGGCGTTCCAGCTACATTGTAGCTACATCAGCTCTCAGGTAAGTGTACACCATGCAAAGGCTGGCGATTGTACAAGTTGTGCTGATGGAATGACCTAATTATCGTGTACGCATAAGTACAGAACGTGTGCGTACACTATCATACACCAATGTCTCTCTTTGCCGCCTTACCCGTCGATCGGTAGAGTCTGTAGAGCTATTGTTGGAAACACCATGACACATGCAGCATAGTACACACGCACAGAGATAGTCATAGTTCTGTGCGTATATACCTATACATATATATATATATATGTATATGTATATGTATATGTATATGTATATGTATATGTATATGTATATGTATATGTATATGTATATGTATATATATATATACATATGTATATGCATTCAAATACAATTGCATCTTTTTTTCTACATACATACATACATACATACATACATACATACATCCATCCATCCATGCATGCATGCATGCATGCATGCATGCATGCATACATACATACACACATGCATGCATGCATGCGTGCGTGCGTGCGTGCCTGCGTGCGTGCGTACGTGCGTACGTGCGTGCGTACATACACACACACACATTCCTACATACGTACATAAACACATACGTACATACATAAATACATACATACAAACATACATAAACACATACATACATTACATGCTTCACATGCATTTCATACATTACATACATTACGTTACATTACATTACATTGCATTGCATTACAATACATGCATGCATGCATGCATGCATGCATGCATGCATGCATGCATACATACATACCTATATACATGCATACATGCATACATACATACATACATACATACATGCATACAAACAAACAAAGATACATACATACATCCATGCATGCATACATACATACATGCATGCATGCATACATACATACACAAGTACGTACGTACCTACGTACATATATACATACATGCATACGTACCCACACTGATCTTATCTTGTCTTGTCATGTCTAATCTTGTTTTGTCTTGTTTTATCTTATCTTGTCATATCTTATGTTTATCTCATCTTATATGGCCTTACAGTTTAAATTTATTGTATATATTAACTCTTGGAATACACTGCAATATGTCATCTTATCTTAGCATATATTTTGTTATATTGTATGTTATATATGTACTAAGCACATACGCACACAAAGCACACAGGCGCAGATGCATACATTAACAGGCATACTGTATACTGCTCTTGTGTCTGTGTGACGTTCCTGTCTTCATCCCGAAAACGCAGCACCTTTCTGGCTGTCTCAGGAATACGAATGTCCCGTCTGCAAATGTGTTTGCCGAGCTGCCGTCTTCCACGATGCAGCGGCCTCAGGTGGAAGCGAAAAGCCACTTGCAAGCCACCTACAGGAGATAGAAGCAACTGGCGTGTGGGTACAGGCATGCCTTGCCCTTCTCTGCCAGGCATGCACGAAGCTCTTCTGCGAGCTTTGTTGGAACAAGGTCTACGGCCAGAAGGAGGCTGACCAAGTCGGGGATGCGTTCTCGGGTGCAGAGGGTGGCTGCCAGCAGGGTCAGCTCCAAAATGCAAGCATAGCAGCGGGGAGCTTGTGCCAGCAATCCTTAAACTCAACATGTTGTTGAAGCTGACCCGGGGAATGGACCGACCAAGCCAGCATCCTGCAAAAGCATTTGTACCAAATCTGTGTTCTGAACAGCAGCCAAGTCGACCGAAAACAAGGGCAGTCATCTGTGAGCTAGTTTTTGACGTGATCCACATGCCAGTTTCTGGAACTGAGCTGCTCGATCCCGAATCCTTTTGTTGCATCACCTCTTTGGGCAGCGCTCCAGGAGTGCCCCGTTTGCCGGCAGGGCGGTGAGATCCAGCCTTCGAAACCCGGTGCAAGGTGTGTACGATGGGAAAGGTCCAGTGGTTTACTGTTGGCCAATGAGCTAATCCATCCTGTGTTGGCATTCAGCCATAGAACGACCCCACGTTCTGAAGTAGCTCCATATAGTAAAAACCCTCCTGGGAGTCGAACCACGTTCAACATGGACGCAACGTGAGTGCTCTGCCTCTTGAACTTGTTCATGAAACATCAAACCTCACTGTCCGTGGTCAATGTCAAAATGTTGCTGTCTCGAAGCAGTGATATAGCATCCCGCATTGTGGAAAGTGCTTTTAGCAACAAATCCGAGCATGACCGTCATACTGTAAGTCTATTCATGTCGTGCTGCAGTAAAAGGTACAGAAATCCAGCTTCATGGTTTTATCTATCGAAACGCTATGTCAGCCCACCTAAACTAAAGGCGGCCTAGCAACTTTAACCTACGGGTCGCAAGGGATGCCCCCGTTCGGTTGGCACTCGGCAACTTCGCCATCTGGGAATCTGGGAGTGGCGGCAAAGTCTCTGCTGATCCATACCTGGTCCAGTGCCCTCGAAGCTGGGCTGAGCAGCGACACAGCTTGAGTCGCTCGAGACGAAATCCGCCCAGGAACAGAGACCGGGTGAAGATCATGAACCTCAAGATCAAGTCTCCTGGACTAGTTTGGACCTGAACCAGTCCGCGTGATGTTGAAGAGAATGTGGATTGTGTGATGGTGGCGATATGGCTCCGATATTCGCCGCGGTAGTGGTAGTGATGATGTAGCTGCCCACACTAATTAGACTGGCTAATTAGTGTTGAACACTATGCATTCGACAACGGTGACAGTGATGTCGGAGGCAATGATGGTGGCAGTTCCGTTTGTGACCTGACGAGGATGATGGTAGCTGCGGCGATTTCCATGGGGAGGGTGACGGTGAGATGGAAAGGATGTTTATGTTGATGTCGAAAGCGCTGGTGTGGTGATGTTTGTGGTGGGGGCGCTGTTGGTGGCATTTGTGGCGGTGCTAGTGGTGCTGGTGTGGTGCTGCTGGTGCTGGTGCTTGCTCTGGTGCTGGTGGTGCTGGTGGTGCTGGTGGTGGTTAGTAATGGTGGCGGTAGTTGTGGTGGGGTATGGGGCTATGGGTTGGCAGTGGCACTGCAACCCTAAGAGCATACTTCAATCCGCTCCTGGTAGCCGGAAGATATCGAACTTCGACTCCCTTCCCCAGAGCTCCGAAGAAATCGACAGCATCGCTCAGGTGCCCGAATGGCTGCTGTGCGACTTTTCCCCTGGTTGACAAGCGAAGTCACCTCCGGATCTGTCCACACCGCAAGGCGAGAGGAAGTCTTGAACGCAGCACTCCACCCCTAATCGTGCGATCCGAAAGACAGCTCTCAAACTCTCATTGCCGACGGTGCTAAACAGACTCGTATTGAGGAGCTTTCCAGATGAGGTTTTGGGGTTTCGGGATGCAGGACGCACGACCTCTGTCGTGCAGATTCTTGCCTGTCTTGCGCAGGTTCGCTGCCAAGACTGCGGCGGCGCCATTGGCCTCCATTTGATGCCACAACATCAGAAGCATGGCAAATGGCAATTCAAGTCCGTTGCAATCCGTTTCTCAGTCGCGAGTGCCATGGCCTCCAGTGGCACGGCCAGGCCTTCCAGCTAACGACCTGTCAGCCGAGGATAGAATGCGAAGCCAAGTCCCTGATATGCAAGATCTGCGGCGAGAGAGCTGCTTGTCGGATGTCGGCCCAAGCTTTCTATTTACCAGATAGGAGGTGTCATCCTACGCCTGATAGACCCTCAGATGAGTCGGAATAAAGGGCTGGGACTTTGATCAACTCAATCTTTGTGCGTATTTCCCTTCTGCTTTACCTTGCCCATACTCTCAAGATCGAGTATTCCCCTTCAGCTGATGATGAGCACTGATGAATATTTCCCGCAGGTGCTGGCCAAGCAGATGCATACACACTTGGAAGCGAACGCTGGCATGCACATCTCTGCTCTGCTGGTGGGGGCTTTCGATCAAGAGGGTCTTTATGGGACAAGTATTGAGGTCCTTTCGGGGTCGGGCCCGTTGGCCAGGGCTAGAGTGGGATGATCCTGGGATGCCTCCCCTCTCCTGAAGCGTCAGTCGTCTGGCTTTACGCAGGGCTTCGATTCGTAGGTAGTTGTGTTCCGAGAAGAGGCGCGTAGGCAGGCTAGCGCCTAGGTAAAGTGGAAAGTGGAATGGTTGCACTGTCTTCCTGCCCTTCAGCCCTTCCGTCCCACTTTGACAGGATAAAATCAGCGAGATGGAGGCCAACTCACAAAAGCAGACACAGGCCTGGCTTCGGCATTAGGAAGGTCAAGGCAGAGCCTCCGCTCATGCAGAAACGGAAGCATTTGCAAGCCAATAGCCGCATAGCCGTGGCCAGGACCGAAGCAATGACTTTGGAAGTGCCATCGTTATACTCATGATACCTGCTGCAGCTTGTGGAGGCGCTCCAGGAGCGCATCGAGAAGCTGGAGGAGGAGGTCCAGGAGCTCAGAGCAGGCCGGGAGCTGCCGCGCTCCGGGGGTCTTCCCGTGTAGCTTGTGGGACCGCCGCAAGTCCATGCTAGCCCTCATCGTTGGTCCCAGCCGCAAGCTGTAGTAACAGTGGTTGCTGTTGCTAGATCAGTTGACACAGGGAATCAGGGAGCTTATAGTTCTCACCAGCGCCGTTGCCAAGAACACGAACATAGAGTTTTGTTCCTGCCCCCCCCTCCCCCCCAACCGTACACGTCCTCTGGACAAGTGCTGTGTGGGCGTCTCTGCATCATTTAGGGTATCCTGGGACAAAGTCTTGCAGACCCGACAGGTAGACGCGCTAGCAAGAGCAGCTACAGATGCAGACACGTCCGAATGACTGGGTCGATATCTTTTGTTCGGGGTTTGGGCTTTGAGCTTTGTTTGGTCCGAGTCATGATAAGCTTTCCGGCAGGTGGAGTTGACATGAACCCGCTGACGGCACCGGAGGTCCTGGACTTTACCTGATGCGCCCTCGCCTCTCTGCATGCCATCCATTAAAAAACAGCAACCTCCCGAATGCAACATGTAGATGTAGAAATCAATATCCTGCAGTATGGCATAGCCGCCCGGTCATGCCTCAGCCCTAAGCTCTCGACTGAAACAGCTGTGCGCCGGCGGAACAAGACGAGATCAGGTGCAACATCATATATCGTAGTTTCGATTTGGACTGTGGAGTCCGGAGTCGTTTGCAGATCCGTAGCCGTAGCCGATGCCCGACAGCGCTATACCACGAAGTGGACAAGTGCCTGCCTGTGGTTGATGAGGCTTTATTTATTGCGTTCTCACGAAGAATCTGACGCAACGCAGCTCAAAAGAGTGGCGCGCGGTGCCCCGCCACCATGGCCTTGCATGCCTGGGCTGCATGTGCAGCGTGCTACAGAGCTCTGCCGTGAAGCTGCTGTTGTCGCCTGAGGTCAAGATATTCCAGCAAGCCCTGTCCCTGTCGCCCGGCAACTCTCAGATCAACGGCGACCTCATGGTCCAAGCCTTGGGAGGGCTTCGAAGGGTGGGTGTCGCTGTAGATGCCTTTCCACGCCTTCCATGGGACATTGCATCGCTCAGTGGTGATGTAGACGTAGCAGTGGCTGCAGCCTTGCAGCGAGCAGAAGCTGCCCGAGCAAATGAAGGCGGGCCCCTCTCGTTGCACTGCCGAAAGCAATTCAACACCCGACTAGTTTTTGGCACAATTCCACATCTTGCAAACCTAAGCCTAGGCCCCAATCTGGGAGCATGAAGATGTTTCTCACTCAGACCGCCCACGCCCTCCGCCCCCCCCCCCCCCCGNNCCCCCCCCCCCCCCCCCCCTTGCAGTCTTGCAGTCTTTGCTCCAGCCCAAGCGTTCCGAGGTTGCGCGACGCAGGCTTCGCGACGATGCGCCGATGCCAAAGAGCGAATCCGCCTAGGAAGTGCTTCGTTTGAGAGCGAATGTAGTTGTGATCATGAGGACTACCCCTCCTCTTTGTCTTCTTATGAGCATAAGTATGATGCTCTATGTATGCTGTGGCGATGATGCATGTCATTGTACATTATGCCATCATGAAGGTGATGGTAGGGCAGTTCGACCGCGGTCACTTCTGGGAAATCAATGGGTGCACTGTCGTTTAGCATCAACCGTGACTGCCCGGGGGTTGCCCTTTGCGGCCTCAGGATTATGTTGTTGATGGGCCTTGGGTAGTGGGGTTTTCAGACTGTTTGATATCAGGATTCAGGTCTGCCTTGATGTCTGGAGATTGGATTTGCCGCGAGAGCCCCGTGAAACTCAGGCCATGTTTTTCGTTACGATTTCCACACCCAGCCCCAGTAGAAAAGTCCAGACCGCGAGAAACTTGACTTGCTCCAATAGTGCTAAGCCGCTAAGTGCTGACGGCACCATTCCCAAGATCTACCAAATCTGCGGCCATAGGAGAGATCACATTAACGTACATCAGGGAGCAAATGTCATCATAGGGAGATATCGTTTCAACTTGAGGGACTCCTGCAACCCCCGACACCCACGGTTCCACCCGCCGAGTCCTCCTGAAGAGTCCACTTGCCGTCTGCCCGGAGAAGCTTCTGACAGTGATGGTGACGGTTGTTGCTTTGCCTGGTTTCTGTTGTGGCATTGTCCGAGCCTCTTTGCTTGGTAGTAGCTGTGGTGATACGCGTCGCGGTAGGAGTAGTAGCAACTAAGCAGAAGCAGCCGTAGTTGTCCTTGCAAAGCTGTGGTAGGTAGCTGTAAGAAGCAGAAATTCGGCAGGACGTAGTGATAGGAAGTTTCAACTACACTTCGCAATGCAGGAATAGTTCGAAGCGGCAGGACGAGCCCCATGCCCATGACCACCTCCACGGAAACCGCCACAAGAATGTCTCTAAACTAGACCGCAGCATCTCGGAAGCCCTGGCCACCTAAAACGCCACAGCAGTTGGAAATAGTTCCAGGCGGCTGGGCATGAGGTGTACAGCTCCGTTGTTGAGGTCCTGTTTCCGCAGCCCTGCCAGGGATTGAAGAACTGGCTGATGACGCGCCGACAGCGGCAGTAGTGCCGGACCGAGCTTCGTTCCGAAAAATGATCTGGCCTTGAGTTGCAATGTCTTGGGCTTGGGGTTTTTTTGTGGCTTACTATCTCAACAAGCTGGAGCTGGTGAGCAGCAAGAGTGAAAGGTTCGGATCCTTATCCTTTGTTCGTGCTTTCTATGTTTCAACCAAGGCATCCGCGCCCCTACGGCCCGGCTATACGCCAGCGCGGCGATCGTTGACGAGGGCTTTCGGGGTGGGCACATCTTGACTTCGGACATCAGGGTCCGAATGTTGGGAGTTTGGCCACACCGACGACGAAGACGGCGACTACAATACGAGCATTATCATTACTATTATTTTGATTGATTGTTTTGTTGTTGCAGCTGTTGCTGTTGCTGCCGCTGCTGCTGCTACTGCTTCTGCTACTGCCACCGCTCCGGCGCCTACTCCTGCTCCCTAAACCCTACTCCTACTACTACCACCAGGACCTACGACCACCAGGACTACCACCGCTACCACGACGATGATGACGACGACGATTTCTACACCGACCACCACTGCAAAAATGCCATTTCTATGATGTGGTGACGATTCTTCGTAGGTACACAAAGCCGTTGACGGCAGTGGCAAAGACGACGACTAGAATCACCACCACCACGGCCGCGAACCCGACCCCCGACCACGACCGCGAGTGCGAGCGCCACTCCCTGCAAGTGCATCTTAAGTGCATCTTCCGCTTCAACGCAAGTTCATTTACCGTCAGCACCCTTGACTGCGAAGACCACGTTTCGCGGCAAGTCTCTTACTACTGTGTATGCTAATGTTCTTTGTTCCTTCAGTGGTTGGCCAGGCGAGTGCAGATCGAGGAGGACTCCGACAGCGAGGATGAGGCACGAGCTGCGTCTAGGGCTCTGTGCTGCTAGGGGTGTTGGGTCCAGGGGTGGGCTACAGAGCTCGAGTGGTTTATGGGTAAAGGGTGAAAAGATGCCAATGGCTCATTGTTTGCAGGTTTGTCTTCGAAAAGGTTGCGGGACTGGCAGAGCCAGGTTTTCTCCCATAGAGAGTAGATGATACTGACTCTTGGTGGCCCACTTAACAGGATACATCATCACCGATGCCAATGTCCTGGAGTCTGCTGCAAGCAATCACTCTCATATTGGCAGGTTGACCCTGCGTCAAACTGTATGGTTGTGGCAACAAATTGATTCCAGTCAGTTGTGCAATCACATCTGCTTACTGGCCGTCTATAGGTTCAGAGACTTTGAAGTGCTGAACCGGGCTTTCTTCAATTGAATCCGGAAGCCAACTGCCAAAGACCTAGACCCGAAATCCGCGCTCCTTTCGCTTCCTCGGGACAGTCTTCGCAAAGTCCAGCGGCAGGCGGCGGATGCCAAGAAAGCGTCGGTGCAGAGCCGGGTTCTCAATCCCATGCTAGAACAACACCTGGAACAGCGTTGGGTGTCGGGCATGTGAATCGCAGTTCAATCAGCAAGGCAACGGCAAGCCTGCTCCCGGCAATGGCTTCGTCAAGGTCGCCATCGAGGAGGCATTCGCCGCTTTCGCGAATCAGTAGCTGCGGCAGACAATAGCGCAGCGAACACAGAGATAGGGGGGACAAGTCCCATTTTGGCGATGAGAAGTCTGGGTGTTCCCTGGGACCTCAAGACAAGAACATCATGAGAATAGAGCCCCGGCCCGAAAGCGCGAGCGCAGACTGGGTAACCGGCAACACTTCGCAAAGACTGCTCAACCGCCCAGGCCATAATCACCACTTCCGTAATCCCCCATGCACAGGCCAGGAAGAACGCAGCTAGGGCGTTAACTGTGAGAACTTGCCTGCTTCTGTCAGGTGAGCGGCAGCGAGGACGAGGGTCCCGAGCGCTGGCCTTAAGCTGCCTTCAGGCCTTCGGCGTTCAGGAGAGTCGTTCAGAGGAATCCCGGGCCCCGTGGTCTGGTGCGAGGAGCCAAGAAAGTAGGGCCAAGAAAAAGGACTTCAAGGACTTCACGCGGGAGCCTGTCAAGTCCAAACTCGAGAAGCTCTCCAGTGACAACTGGACCTTCACACGGAGACATCCAAGAGTGTCGCTTCGTCTTCCGACATACCTGACTCGAGGACTTTGATGTGATATGAGTCGAACGATCGCCATCGCGCCGATCATGACCACACCAATGATGATGATGATGATGATGCTGATGCTGATGCTGATGCTGATGCTCATGCTGATGCTGATGCTCATGCTGATGCTGATGCTGATGATGATGATGTTGATGATGCTCCTGATGATGACGATGATAGTGGCAGTGATGATTAGGATGATGCACTGGGGAGCAAAGAGACGGAGGATGTGCAGCAACTCCTCAGCATGGAAGTGATGGAGATCAACAGTTCCCACTGCTTCAGACGGGTGTGCACAGGAGTGCTGGCCTACAGGCTCCTTTATGCCATCTGCTACGCTAGTACAGATTTGTTGCATCGCTCCAACTCTTCGGGCCTGGGGTAGGCAAATCGGACCTACACTACGCCAAGCCAAACTGCCCAGGGACGGTGGTGCAGTCACAGTCTCAGCATTCCGCGTTCGACCATGCAGCTGCCACGTTGTAGCAGGCCCAACTCGTAGCAGCACTTGTGCATCGATTTACGAAACTCAAGCACCGGAAGCCGCAGCAATCCATGCAGCATGGAAGTTGGGATATAGAATGTAGCATGTGGCCCACAAAGAATTTAGCGTTTCTTGGTGAGGCAAAAGCAGGGCTTGCTCTACTCAACCTCGAGAGGAGTTGCTATGCACCGTGCTATTTGCAACTCTATGCTGCAGGAAGCTATCAGAGCCTTAGCCGCTTAGCCTCAGCCGAATCAAGGTTGTAAGCCTTCCACATGGTACTTAGACAGGAAGGAATTCGTGATGGGCTCGAGCATGTACACGTACTCCTATCTGGGTTGAGATCCTGTAGTAGCTGTAGCGAACTT